TTTACTAATTTAGAACTGCGATTGCGATGCGGATTAAAGTTATATAATTTGAAAATTAATGCTAGTGGACTGGACAGACGTTGTCCTGTACACGACTTAAATTCGACAACTTAGAAATAAAAATTGTAGTGGACCGAATTGTGAATCTAAACTATTCTCGAATCAACCTGAAGACACAGAATTTTTTTTAATTAAAATCGGTCCATTAATTTAGGAAGTGTTCAGTGACATATACACGTACAGAAGAATTATATATATAAAGATATCAATATAAGCATAAAATAAACCAAAACAAAATTAATTAATCAAATAATTCATTAAAAGTAACCGCTCGATGGACCTACCGCGTTAGGACATTCGTTAAATTAGGAAACAATTCGAACAACAGAAGTATGGCCATAACAATTAACGCATACAAAAAGCATCGTTAGCGAGACACATTTTAATCAAAGCACATTACCGTAAGGGCGCGACAAGGTTGTCGGGGACGATTTGCATGAAAAATTCGTGCGTATTCACCGAGGACAATGAGAGCAGGCATATACGAGGTATGCTATATGTATCCGGTGGCGCCTTTTGTCCGAGCACATGACACGGGAATAACGCAACCAGTCATTGTGCTGAACGAGTTATTGAATAAAGTTATTAGCGGAGGCCATTGTGTAAGGGAAACTTTTTGGAAACGGGGATGGTGAATGCCGTGTGAAAAGGTCACTTAGTTTAAGCGGATTTAAAGCGAACTGTCGATTTAAATTCGAATATATGGTTATGTTTGCTGGCATCCGTTACGTTTTAATGCACATTTGGTTGAAATTGCTGTTATTTTTTCTAAAATATTGTCATGCTACTTGATTGTCAATGTCTTGAAAGTCTTGTAAGACTAGATTCTGAGTGGTGATTGCATAGGTATAGAGAGTTCTAACAAAAAGTGCATTTTATTTTATTAAGGTTTTTTGAGAAAAAATTTATCTCGCACAATGAATCTTCTTCCCATGTTTAACTATTTACTCGTGATTTTCACTTCAAAAACTCGCGTTGTATGCCGACTCAGATTAAAAGGGACTAACTTCAGATTAAAAGGGATTGACGTAAAGATATTCACATTTACTTTGATCTAAAACACCAAATCTTTCGTTAGAAATATTGTGCGTGATAAAAGAAACCCTCATTAAAGTGCCAAACAAATATAAAACGAGTCGCGGTCGCAGGCCTCTCAGCAGCGTCACGCGAACACATCAAGCGAGTGTTTTTTAATGAAAGGGACATTATTAAATTCACGGACGCTATAATAAGTGTAGACACGGTAAAGGGACTCGGTGCCGAAAAGGTCGGGCGAAGAACGGTCCATTTCGTTTCCATTGTGGCCAAAGCTGTTATTCGAGCAATAGAAAGTCCGGGCACGTTTGCTTTTCTTCTATTAATATGTATGAATTTGGGACGCCCTTAGTTAGCCGTCTCATCTTCTTGGGTGTGAATATATCTTGACACGGAAACTCTTGAGATTGACAGTATCCAGTTACATTCTAAATATTGTTGGTAGACAATCTAAGCTTTCTAGGTTCGACGATATCTTTTTTTTTATGGAAAAAGCGGCATACCAGCAGGTGGCTCGCCTGATGGTAAGTGATCACCGCCGCTCATGAACACCTGCATCACTAGAGGGCTGACAAACGCGGTGCCAGCCTTTTAGGAAAGAGTATGCTCTCTTCTTGAAAGTTCCCAGGGCGTAACGGTTCGAAAAGATCAATCGGAAGGATCGGATCTTCAAAACTTTAACAACGGATTAAAATATATAGAAAAAGTGCGAAAAGACTGTCGCCGCTGTGGGAATCGAACCCACGTCTTCGGCTTTCCCGGCCTGACGCTCTAGCCACTGAGCTAAACGGCTGATAGCCACACCGACGAAAATCTTAGCGTCTTTTTCTACATTGTTTTCTTAGCAATGTTCAATCTTAAGTGCAGAGATTAGCACTATAAATAATTTAAATTTTTAACAACGGATCTTTAACAACATGGAAAGGTTCATCAACATCTGCCGGCCTTAAAGATGGATTCACTCACACAGGTTTCGGCATAAAGGTCATCAATTCACAACAGGAATATCTGGAGAATTGCTTGATTGCAGGTACCCGTGAAAAACTCAATTCTACTAATACAAAAGGTTGAAACAAGGCCAGTTTCGATGTACATGAATTCAAATGATACAATAAGCTAGGAAATTGACTTTATAGGTCTGCACTTTTGACTTAAACTATTGAAATAAGTTAGTATTTAATAATGTGTACACGTAACATACCACGAAAGAATCACGAAAAGAAACTCTGTAATTACTTTAACCTTTGCAATAGCATACTCGCGGGCTCTGACAGCTGAGAAGCTTGTGAAGCAAGTAAAAGGCCAGTAGTTAAGTTACAGTTAAGTTGCCTTCCTTCGTAGCGTAAAACCTTAGAAAGAGCCAATTCATTGTTCCCTAAGAACTCTGTTTTTAAATTTCATTAGAAACAACGATAACGTGCTTTTTATTCTTTTGAAGTGTAAATCGTGCTGGCACTTCTAAAACGTATATCACTATAAGTTTTGATATTTTTTTGATGAATTATACTCCCAAGCTAGTTTTTTTTACCTATTGGTTTTAATTATATTTCACGTTAAATTTATTTATTTCACGTTGCAACACTGAACCGTAATAATAAAATAAAAGGCGGCTACCTCTGCTCCGGCTCTTTGAATTTTTGATGGCGGAAACATTTTAAATGTATTGAAAATATTTTCAGTATCAAGCGTCCAAACTTTTCTTATCCACCAATACCTTTTTTTAATAGAAACTGTCATAGACTAAATTTTATCTACCGCTTAATAACTCAGATGCATATTAATACCAAAGTTCTTTTATTTTAGCATTCTTCCAGCCCGTGACAATGAATGCTGTAACGTATTGTTTAAAATAAAAAAAATCAAGTCTTCCAGTCCGTAAATTAAATTTATTTGAATTTACCTTCAGCTTGTTAAATTTATTCTTTATAAGAGACTAGCGACCCGCCCCAACTTAGCACGGGTGTAACGTATTATACATATACATATAGTATGTATATATGTATATATATATATATATATATATATATATATATATATATATACATATAAACCTTGCTCTTGAATCACTCTAGTAATAAAAAACCGCATCAAGACCCATTGCGTAGTTTTTAAGATCTAAGCATACATAAGGACAGACAGACAGCGGGACGACTTTGTTTTATATTATGTAGTTATATCTACGGTATTCGCAATTTTACTTTAAATGTTCGAAATTATTGATTGATGCAATTTACGGTACGTAAGGACGCGGACATGTTATACAATGCAGACATAATCGGATCCGATACGTGGGGAATTACTTCTACTGATTTCCCATGGGCGTGACAACTTGATATCATTATGGAAAATTGATTATGCCCGACACTTATGCATGAGATACAATGTGTTGCCTTGGTTAACGATGTTAACTAATGTCCAACTAATTGCAAATGATTATAGTTTGTCGTTTTAAACAACTAAGTTTTAAATAATGACATTCGCACTCACCAGACGTAACGCGAAAGTATTTGTCATACTTCCACTTTACGCCGGTCTTCTGTGAGGTCGTGGTACTTACGGACGAGCCTGCCCATTCGTGCAACAGCCGAAGCTGCTGCGTGGCCCTACCACCGTTAAACGCCGTGCTACAAACGCCGTAAAAGTATTGAAAATCTTCAAGAGAGGAGTATGCTTTTGAAAGGTTTTATTTAGATTATTCTTTAAGGTTCCAAAGTGGTCAATTCATTCAACTATAGTTTTGCGTGGCAGAAAACTCCAAGAAAAGCGTTACGCCGGTTGCCAACAGCTAAGTTGTTTCAAGGGTAATCCTCTGTTTCTTACATTACGATAACTTATTTCTTTTAAGGCTGTTAATTAATTATATTTTTACTATATTCATTCTGCGTGTGAAAAATTGATGGCAACGGTTTAATTTTTACACAACAACAATCGTTCCAACTTTTACATAGCCTAAGACTTCGTATCACCCAACCCATTTCGTCCATTATGAAAAATGGAAACGGTGTCGCCGTAATGCGATCCCATCGGTTTTGACGGGGCATCGCTATGAAAACGCTCGTCAAACAATGAATTCAGTGTCCAATTAGATGGGAACAGGCAGGCCCGTCTCGTCTATTTATTTATGCCGCCCCGACGGCACTCAGCCCGGGTTAATTTACTGCCCATTATACGAATGCCCAACTGGTAGACGGTGTCGTCATCCGATCTCATCAGTTTTTCAATGGACCCACCCTTAGTATCTGTAATTAAAAGATGATTATTCCCATTAATTGCTCATTAGTAAGTCGTAAGTGTGACGTGCATGATACTCATGACTATCTTGTATCTGAGATGTGTACGCAAAATGTCCATTGGATTTCGATCCCACAACCTTGAGGTGCTAAACACTTGGCTATCACTGACTACGAGCGTAATACTCGTAAATACTGTAATTGCACAAACTACTGATCATTATATACAGGCAATAATTGAGCGTAGAAATTCATACGTAATTATCAGTATCAATTGGTTTGAATTGGTGATTGAAAGTGGATTGGAACGTAATTATAGATTTACCCTCATTTTATTTGGAACAAATGACCAATAATTTGCTTGTGTAGCTATGTTATGAACGAATACGGGAAATAGGCTATGCTATTTTTTAACTTCAGTAGAGTAGAGTATCACCACTGCCCTTCTTAGGCTTACACATACATTATTATTTCACTAATACAATGAACTGTTCTTCAACAATTGCTCAATCCCGTTTTCAGTTTTTTTAATAAATTTCAGGCATATAAATGTACGTTTTACATTAAAATCACCAAACGCTACCGCGATCAGTTATGAAGCACATAATCGAATACGTAACACAATATTTACAACTGGCACATAAGAACGAAAAAGCTCTCACGCATCCCGTGTTATCCTATTACATGGAGTCCACAATAAACATCTTTCCTGCTCATCGTGCCCTCTTCCGTCCCGCTCGCACGCGCCCCGTCACTGTCCAGCTGCGTTCGGGTTAGCAGCTCCTTATTCCCTAGTTTGTGCTGTGAGCTCGTGCGCGACGGACGTCCGTTGTCACGCCCCGCCCGCCTGAACGTTCCCGGGCGTGTTTTCACCGGTGTCTTAATGAAAAATTGATGAAAACCCACCTTTAACGATCCCGCCGCGCTAAGGGTGTTTTCGACTGTGCCCTTTTCCTCGCGCGATACGTGTGCGATGCTACCGGATGCGCTCCGCTCGGTGAGTGTAACACTAATTACAGGTGGATAAGTTGGCTGAAAATTGTCGGGCGAGCGGATGGAGAGTGAATAGGCGAGGAGATGAAATCCGAGTGTCATATTACTCTCCCGTGCGTTGTTTCGTCGTTCGACTTGTTTTAAACATAGAGATGTTTTGAATCAAAGCTTCTGTGTGGATTTAGCTGTTGATATTACAGACTGATTTGTTTATGAGTTAATTTCAAAAATTGGTTTATATTAAGTGTGCATGTTTACAATATTTACTTAATATATTTAAGTATTGGGATTTGCGAACAAAACTGAAGTTAAATAAATCGAAATTATTAAATTTAATCCTTTTAACTGTTATTGAAATTTTACATTTGCAATTCGAATAGTTTGATAGAACATTTATTTTAATGTATAATTACGTCGCTTATTTACTATTAAAATATATATCAATAGTTTATCGAGACCAAAGCAATTTTAGATTTATAAGAGTAGTTTTGTCTACTTATAAATAATTCAGAACGGTTGTCGGAACTTTAACGTGTAAGCGGTAGCGGCGAACGGTAAAATAAGCATTGGAAAAAATACTAATGACCGATTTTTAATGACAAAGATTCATGGTCAATTTGTACCGTCACTTTGCATTGCAGAAAATCACCAGTTTTTCGCAAGGCATGCCATTATATTAAATAACAAGAACGGGCAATTATATTATTTTTGTAGACATTATGGGGACAAGTATATTTATCATAACATTGTTTTAGCTAAATAACTACAAGAAAAAGCGCAAACAGTTAATTTTCTAAGCGCTTGAAACTACACCATTCTGAAAGTATGCTGATTACGATATTCACCGTTCGGCATCATTTGTCTGGCCATTTTTTTATTGATAACATTTTCACATCAATTTCTTTTGTAAGTAGAAGCGGTTTTTGTCGTTACACAATAATGATAGAAAATCATAGCCAAGTCAGTCCGATTCGAATATGGTTACTGAGACTCATCAGTATATAGAGTAACCTCACATAGTAGTAGCTAGCTTTTATATTTCGAAGGCAAAATATAAAAACAAACAAGTCTATGATTTGCCTTATATGTTATATAAATATTTTTACCAGTGATATTTACCAAATTTAGATTAATATATATTTTGTTTGTGATGACGCCAGAATCAGAACTTCAAACGAATATGGTTTGCCGCGGTGGAAAATGCGAAATATCGCTCTGCAAATGCTGGTTCATAGTCTACAATAACCAATTAATAAATTATCTATCTTGATAATTAGTTACAAAAGTTTTAAAATCCTTTTGGAAATAAAATTGTCTTATCATTAAATAGTGTAGTTGTGGTATTAAACAAAATTATATATTTGTTAAGGGTTAAATTTTAATAAAGTGGACAGTGGTTATTTTGGTTTTACAATATCAAAACAGAAAGACGTTACGATAAAAAATTACATCTGCGGTGAACACGGGAGTCTTAATGGAGGATCGGATATCGATCAGTGTCGCGTTTATGATGTAGGGTTTTTGTTTTTATGTTGATAGTCTAACAGAAGAGAGAACCGTTATCATAGAACATATTATTTAGATATATGCATGTCTATTACTGTCGCTGATTTTGTATTATGTATCTGTATATAAAATATAAGTTATAATAGGAGTTTCATCAGAATCTATGCAAGTGTAACAGCCTGGTAACGAGTAGCTCTTATTAGTTTACGTTGACGATTCTTCATCAACAACCATTTGCGCATTTAAACCCCAACGAAACTTTATCGGGTCTATAACACCCATAACCTGATTAGCTTAAACCTATTTATAGGGCCAGTAATTTCTGTCTAAAACGTTATCCGGTCCACTGTGACTACACCCTTGGAACGGTGGCTTTTGTGGCCGAGTATAAAACGACGTATTCAAATAACTGTATGGTTTTGACGCTTGCATTACTCGTAACTAATTGAAAAACTGACGCGTCTGACAGTGTCGATAATTAACAAAAGCGCAAAAACCACACAGCACTGCGGTTTGCGCCTAACCCGAATAGAATTGAAATGTATTCAGCAAACAAAGTTAAAATGATCTGTCATATTGTCGTAACGTAGAGGTTTTGTTGTGGATTTTTTTTTTGTAAAAAGTTGCCAAGCGCGCAGACGGTTCACCTGATGTTAAGTGAATCCCGCCACCCATGGAGTTCTGACGCCCGAAGGTTCCAGATGGCAACCTTTTGAAAATTGGGCTGCGGCCACCTCACTCACCAGACGAACGCGAATGTATGTGTCATACTTCCACTTTACGCCGGTCTTCTGTGAGGTCGTGGTACTCACCCGGACGAGCCTGCCCATTCGTGCAACAACCGAGGCTGCTGCGTTGCCCTAACACAGTAAAAATATCACCGGATTTTATCATAAGATATCGTTCTGATGATTTATTTGATTGCGTTTCATATTTCTAATATCCCACCGCGTGTCCTGTGGGATTTGTAGCGTCATTTTGGGTTGTACATTACGAAATAAATACAATGAATTTAAATCCTTATTTAAGTTAAGTAAGCTGTGACTCACTTTACACGATTTAAGGTGCTAGTGCACTATGCACTTCAGAAAGTGTTTATTAATGGTGCGTGAAATATCTCGAATGAACTATTTTGTAGATATTTCTATTTATTTTTTCATACTATTTAATAGTTTCGTTTAGTTCATATGGTATAAAATATAGGATAAAAGACTTTATCGTATTGCGTTATGAATTGACTCAATCGAGGCAAGAATGAATCTATCGATACGGTGACTAAACGTAAAATTTACCCGCCGTAAGTTTGATTCCGCCCAAAAAATGCTTTTTACTGTTTTCCAACATTCTTATAGCCCGATAACCTTACAATTAGTAATTTCAGATATGTTATATTATTTTTACTGATATATTCTAGAATATTCTTTAACTTCAACCGAAGGGTTCGCTATTGCTAGAATGCAGATCCGTCCGGGTAAGTACCACGACCTCATAGAAGATCGGCGTGAAGTGGAAGTGTTATATACTTCCGCCTTTCGTCTGGTAGCCGGAGCCCATTTTATTATAAGAAAAAATATAATATTAAGTAATCAATATTATAATTTGTAATATTGAATTTCTTACGGTAAAGATACAGTTGTGTGTTCATTATTTAAGCTTGTTTTACACACAATTTTCCGAACAAAAGTTATGGTGAACATTGGGCGTCTGCGTTTCATTTGAGTGTAAATTATAAATGAACCCTGTCGGGATTAAGTTTTAATAATTCAACGGAAACCCACATATTAAATTAAAAATTCGCAACTCAATTCAAATTATGTGCCGTTTATCGATGTCCGACGAAATTAATTTCGTAATAATGTATTATTAAATGATATTTGAATTGTTAAGTTGAATATTGACTGTTTATAACTAAATTGACTTTTACTGTTCAAATATTGTTTTTTTAATCTATTTGTAAAGTTTCTACAACTGTTGTATTTGTAAAATTAACACAATATAATGTTTCTTATTTCAAGACTCATGGTAAAGGTAAGTCCATTTTTTTATTAACGAAAAACAGAACCGACTTCGATAATATCTCGCTTTATATTCATTATATGAAATAGATTTTCAGGAATTCCCTAAGTATCTCCGGAGCCCAAGATCCAACACCAACACTAATATCGGACTACAAAGGAGGCACCAGATTTCAAATAAAAAAAAATCACCAAAATAGGTTCTCTCAGTTGAAAGTTCTGAGGTGACAAACATAAAAAAAATATAGTCGAGTTGAGAACCTCCTCCTTTTTGAAGTCGGTTGAAAACATACTTTTAACTTTTTTTTTTTTTTTTTGAGTAAATTCATTATCACCCTTCTGCCCTTATCCCACCTAGTTGACACCAGGGTTCGACACAGCGTTTAAATCGTGTTGTAAGTGGTTTTTAGAAACCACTATTGCTACTTTTTTCTAAACTAGAAAAAAGTAACAATAGTAATTTCTTTGTCGACATTAAATTTGAGTTTAAGTTAAGCTTATATTGAATAAAGATACCTCGACTTTAACGTTGACTTCGAGTGAATAATATGGATTTCGAAATTAAATAAATTATCATTCAAGACAGTGCTAATTTCTTATAAGTACGCGATTACTGTCAAGTTTTAAACTTTAGTTCCTGATGGACCGAACCCTACAACATTTATTATCAAATATTATTATTATTTATAATATTATATTCCTGGTGTCAAAAAACGCCATAAAACCCGTAAAATAGTTTTATTTCATAGTGAATGACCGTAATGACGTATTTAAAAGTCTATATTCATTCAAAGTTCCCGGGAATCGGGTATATAGGAAACTGTGCAGCGCTTTCGCAAGTTTTACGCCCGCCTCGCTCGTGAAAACCCATAAAGCGCTTTACGCTGAAAATTGAAAGTAACTTGGGCTGTAAAACACGGGCAATAGATAAAATTCTCCTCTATATCAATTGCGAAATTCAGCTTTAACGACGCAATATTTTTTTGTATTTCTACCACAATTGTCTGTTGACTTATAAATATATAAATATACATCACTATAGTGCAAGCGTTCGGAAAGGCCTTTAAAAAAAAAAGAATAATTACTTCAAATTTTTTAAGATAATCCAATACCACGATGATGACTCTTAATTTAAATTCGGGGCGTTTCATAGTCAATATTTCCTCATTGTGTAAAAATTTGATCGGAAAATAATTACTACATATTTTATGACACAACTCTATAATTATTGTACCTTGTCTGTATATCTTGTATATCTCTATATATATATATATATATAATTCTTCTGTGCGTGTGTGTGTGTGTGTGTTATATGCATGTGACTGAACTGTTCCTAAACGGCTGAAATTTTTTGTATGTGTTCAAGTGATTCGAGAATGGTTTAGATTCAGAATTAGGTCCACAACAAATTTTTACTTTATTATTTTTTTATTTATAAATTGTCGTCTATATCATATATATATAAATAAATATTTTTACACAACGTTCTCTAGTCCCAAGCTAAGGAACGCCTATACTATGGGTACTAGATAACTGATAAACATACCTTTTTTAAGTTTTAAAGTTACTGTTGGCTTCTCA